AAAATCAGATTCGCCGTCATCTTTTTCAAAACTATATTTTTTGCAAAAAAATTTTCATTGTTCATCGGACAATTTATATCAGGAGCAGTCTGATACATTGCCAGTGGCTTCACGTTGGCTTGAAAAATTTGTGAACACCTTGCTTCTTTCTCTCATGCAGTTTTACTCGTACCTACCGAATCCACGCTAAATTTTTGCTAAATTTTCTCAACAGTACTTGATCTTAAAAGCCAAGCAAACAGAACGAAGTCATGGTTTAGTCTTGATCTCGAATGTCCCGCAACCTAATAACACGTTTCTACGTTGGATGAATAAGGGGTAAATACCTTCGTCCACAATGCAGTTTGAGCAAACGGTTATCGGTGGCTAACAAGAGTTTTGCCTGCATTGCACCATCGATGATTCAGTCCCTATAAATCATCGATGATTTATCTATGACTGCCACCTATACGCGCCACCCTCTCGATTTATTGGTGTTTTATTTTCGATTTTCGGCAGATCTGGCTACCCACCGTTACGCCGCCTATAATCTACTATCGCCACCAATAGTCATCGATGCGCCACCTTTAATTTTTATTTGGGAAATACGCGTTCAAAAATTGGTTATTGCCTAATATTTCGACAGATGAGGTGACACATAAATTGAGTATGATAAACCTGAGAAAATTAGTGGTCAATTATGCTAAGAAATTTATATATTGAATCCATTTAAGGCCCTGATTTAGAGCCGAGCAAAGTCTGAGAGGGGGGTTTTCGCGTTTCCTTGATCTGCCCGAAGCTCGGCCAGTCGCAAGCCTCGAGCTTTACTCTTTGTAATATGATATCCTAGCCAGCCCCTTTCTCGCGGCAGCTGGTCGCTTTCAGGTGGCCGAGGAATGGCCAACGGTCGGCTATAACTAATTGGACTAGGCCAACCACTGGCCACGTATTATTCTTCGCCTCTCATTGAGTTCCCGGCACCATGCCGCTCGTGAACTGACAGTCGAGTAATTTACGACGTCTCTTTCCCCTCATGTTTTCCACGCCTCCATTTGAGCAGCTAGTATGCGGGATTTTCCCTCCGCGTATCAGCAGGCTCGATCATAACTTTTTTAAGAAAGAATATTTACAAGGAGGCTGATCAAGGAATGCCGAGTATACCATTCAATTGAAAATAAAAATTACAACCCCTTTACATCTCGACAAAAAGTAAAAAAGTCGCAGACTTGATGAACAATAATTAAATAATATTCAAAGTTTCTTGAAATTTCCTCTCATTAAAACTCATTTAATACAAAGTTTACATATTTTTTGTAACTGGTCACCGCTTATAAATAAATAGCTGGGTAAGCATGGAAAAATCCATATCGCCATCTCATTTACGAGTGGAGTAAAGTATATTCTAATTTGTGAAGAAACGCGTAGGGAAGAGCCGAGCCTGTTCGAAGCCTCGCGACCATCAACCAGGGCCTTAAGGGGACCTTCTACCCTAAAACCGAGGTAGCCTATAACTCCTACAGTTATTGTCCGATCATCATGAAACTTCACATACATACGTAAAATGTAAAAATAATAACATTTTACTTCTAAGCGCAGCTGTATGCGTCAATTTTGGCGTACATAGATCGCAGTAGTATCATTGGAAAGCTTAAAATGTCAGCTTTAAGATGAGACTAAGCATGTAACTGCAGCACAACTCAGGTAGAAACTATATTCAAAGATTTCAGCAGTTAATTAATTTATATGTAATTAGGTAAAGAACTCTCCCACCCGCCTCCGTTTAAAGAGCCGTCATGAACGTAAATATTCACGTAGAGAGATGGCAGTGATACCATTGGAAAGAGGAGAATTCCAGCTTTAAGATGAGTATAAAAACCGGAAAACGACACAATTGAAAATTTTAGGGTAGAAGGTCCCCTTAAGAGACAGGATTGCTGATTAGGTGAGTCGAAACGAAATCTGGATAAGATTATAATTCCTGGCGCATTGGATCATGTTCAATGACTTTTTAGTGCAAATCGTACGTGAATGCTTACAGTTGAAAGAGTGAGGCGAGAGTCTATATACGCAATTGTAAAAAAATCTTTTACAGCTGGATGTCCTCTTCAACCAGACTGTTTGCTTGAAAAATGCGGAAAATGCCACTGTTATTCTCTGTTATTCTGGTAATCCATCTTCATTTAATAGCATTTTAGATTGATTTCTGGAATGTTATCGTGAACGCCGTTAAGTTGAAAATGAATGAGACCCTTCAAACAACCTCAGAGGGGCTTCCTTCATGAAATCTTTGAAAACCAATAATAATATAAGGGACGCTACTCAAGAGCTTCATATTAGTTCCCGCGATGATTTATTTACGTAATTGGCCAGAAGTAAATTTACTTTTTCAAAGCCATGGCGATATCTATGAATTTCCATTAATTCATAAAGAAAGGACAATTGTATCTTATTATAGAAGTTAAATTGAGGAGTACATTGCAATGCGGAAGGTGGAACATTTGATATAATTCATACCTCGCCTTAGTTTATTTGTTTTTTATAACTATCTTTTGCCATTGCACGAAATTATTATGGTATTTTGGACTCAGTCTTGTGTAATTTTTTGCAAGACAGTCTATTAAGCACAAAAAAATAAATTAAAATATAACTCACCATCAATGTTAGAAGGTAGTCAGAATGCAAATAATTTAATACCAGTAACCTTAGATATTAGTCCCCTCCATATATTCGAACAAATATACAAAAGGCGGTATACCATTCAACCATTATTGTAAAATTTTCACAACGGAATTATTTATTACTTTTATCAAAATAATCAACTATTTTGACTTAAAACTAGTAATACATTTATGAGGTGAGACATAAATACTGGACAAACAAAATTCTTTTATTACCAAAATCTTGATATTTTCCTCAACACAATAATTGAACTTTACAACCAATGTCGAATTTAGGAAGATTGCCCTCAAATTAAGACGAAGAGCACAATTTTCTATTTCTTAGCTAACTTTTTTCACTTATTAAAAAGGTAACCTGTGATCTTGGAGCATGAAACAACTAGTGTTATGATATCTGCCGTATGACTATAACTGTGACTTTGAAATATTACGCATTAACGTACTAAAATAATTCTTGTCATTGGTCAACGTATTTTCTACGCCAAGTCAAGTGAGCATTCCCTGCAACATTATTTCTTCAAGCCCCCGCCAATGCAAGAAAAGTATATACATTCCCGTCACACATATGAACCCAACCACTTCCAGCAATTCGGTTACGATAGTTACACATGATTGCATAGGCGGTGGGATCGTAAATGCTTCACAGTATCAACTTCAACTCAAGTTCAAAATACAGCCTAAAGTAAATTATAACTTTAGTATTGACAGTAACTAGAATGAGAGAAACTAAAAAATCAGACTTATTAATGTCATCGAAACGTATGAAGTGTTAATTCGATAGAGGACTTGGCCGCCGATTCGCAAAACAGATTCAAAATCATTGTTATGAACATAGCAATGCTGTTCGAGTCTTGGGATTTGCCATTTATATTTTCCCTTTTAATTTCCTATTTTCATTCCGTTAACTACACGTGGTAGGGCAACATGGGGCAGCGCCCCCCCACCTTTTTTAAACTTAATTTTTGATGAAGTTTCAATAGATACGAGGTGGTTCTTTGTTTTGTTTAAAGGTAAAACTGATGAGGTATGTATGATGTGAATTAGACGCCTATAGAGTTATTCAATTTTTAATGAAACACTATTTTGTAAAAAGTGTCAAAATGGGCCCATTGCCCCACCCTGGGGCAATGGGCCCATATGCGTGGGGCAAGGCGCCCACCCTTGGTCCCTTTACCACAATTGCATATTTTTCGTTTAAAAATGATAAAACAACACTTTTCAGTTAAAAATAAGAAAAATGTAATAAAAGTATGACATTCATTCATTTATTAACAACTCCAAAATTCATATCCTTAACTTGAAAAATATATTCTTGGCCTAAAAAATCTATCACTGACGTGAAGAAAAATATTTTATTGACATAAAAATATCTATACTTGACTTGAAAAATATATCTTTGCGATAAAAAATTCATCCTTGACATGAAAAAATGTATCCTTGACTAGAAAAATATATTTAGTTGATCAGAAAAAAACTTCGTTCCAGTTTCGTCCATAATCCAGATATTGTGTGCAGAGAATTCGTACCTAATCGTGATTTCAGCCAACACCACAAAAACTCATCAACTTTTGGCTCATTGGTGTTGACTGAAATCAACTTTTGGCAAGGCAAGAGTCAATAACTCGATAAGGAGTCATAAATACGCATAACTAGGAACTAAACCTGCTGCATTGAGGCAGCAAATCAAAAAATCATGCAATATGAAGTGTAATTTGTAATTCAAAAAGCTAGTCATAGTTTTGAAAAGGTCATTGAGACAAACCTAATGATGTATAACACAAGACTTCAACATGGGCGCTTTGCCCCGTGACACGCGTTGGCACGTTGCCCCTATAGCATCATTTCAATTTATATCGTGTCAACATTTTATTTTATAAGCTAATAGTCTAAACTTGATCTCAAAATTATCCCTATATATATTACTTTCAAAATATAATTCACAGTAATTTCAAAAGTCCCATCTGCAGTAATCGAAAACAGTTTTATTTAGCGGCAAAAAAATTTTATCTGGGCTAAAACAGTTATTCACAAATAACTTAATAACGCAAACACTTAGCAAAACGTAAATCCGTACACTTCATCCCAGTGAAACTGTCGACCGGCGGTAGAGAACACGGACCAATATCTGCCATACTTAGCGAGAAACCCGCTATGGGCCCATGACCCGCAGTGGGCTCGCTGCCCCATGTTACCTTATAATATAATTTAAACTATTTGAATGATTATTCTATATTCCCATAGGCCCGACAATAGTTTAAAACGAAAATAAGTAATCTTGGATTGATGCATAGCATTGGAGTTCTGAATTTCGTCTGAATTTAGATTCTTGACTTTGACGCTCGCTGTAACTTGGCGACATGGGCGCTGGCGAACATTTCGGCGCCGTCGATTATGGCATGCTGGCAGTCACGGTCCTGGCTTCTGTGGCCATCGGAGTTTATCACGGCATCAAAGGCAACAAAACAGCTATTGATTTCTCCATGGGGAGCCGCTCCATGACGCCATTCCCAGTTTCCCTGTCTCTACTTGCAACGTTCCTCTCAGCTAATGCAATTCTCGGTAGTGAATAATACTTGATGATGAAATTTTCCTGTATTTTTTATGTGGGTAGCTCAAATCCAAAATGTTTAGTATTTATTTCTTCTATGAATGCTAAATTTAATCATGATTGAATTTACTCTGCTTCACCTTAAGATTAAACTAACGTCATAAAAAATGACCAGAACCCACAACTGAAGCACATCGAGGTGTGGTGGAGCTACATCCAATATATAAATCAGACCCAAACGAATTTCAATTTGATCTAATTCTATCATCTTAAAAAGATACAGTAAAATCAATCATTACTGTCTATTAAACTTATATTTTTTTCCCTCTATTAAATTTATAATTTTTTCCCTCGCGATTTTTGTCTCCTGAGCAATTTGATATTTTTAATCCAATACAAATGGTTTTAGATTTGCAAAACATGTGTCTTTGCGCAATAAAACTGTAGTTAAAACGACATAAGCGTTTATTGTTGGATTGCAGGTTACTCAGGAGAAGTGTACGCCCATGGCAGCGTGCTCGCTTGGTCGATACTTGGCACGGCTTTGGCCATCGTCTTCGCTGGAGAGGTCGTTTTGCCGGTCCTGCATCCACTGAAACTCGTCAGCCCGAATCAGGTTGAGGAAATAACTTATGTTCATTCTAATGATCAGCAGTACAAATACTTGTTTTAATGTAGGTTTCAAGCAGTCAGCGATAAGTCTAGTTGCGGAAAGTCATGATGAGCGACAGGAGTGTACTGTAGGAATTCATTCGTTTGTATTTCGGCTCGTAACAGCAAGAAAATATTTTAAATTGCCTTTAAAAGTCAAGTTAAATGTCTGTCAGTTTCTGGATGCAATTGGATGCACTTTGTCTGAAGTTTTCTGCAACTTCAGACAAAGCATCATCAAAGACTCAAGACTTTAAGACTTAAGACATCATCAAAGACTTAAGACTTATCTGCATCATCAAAATTGAATTGATGGTTACTAAATTGACATCTATTTCTTGTTTATGGGGGAGCAACAAGCAGCAATAAAAAATACTTATCTTCTCGTTGTCAATCGGTAAAAGATTTGATATGCACTCGCTATTCTGCATTACCGAAGAGAATCCGACCACGCTCGACAATAAAGAAGCTAGGCTAATACTCATCAAAATTACTCATCTAGCCTGCTGCAAAATAATCAGAAATGATTCTGGAAGGCAATAAAATTGAAAGGTAAATGGTATTGGCAGTATCTGGAGGTGCGGTTTGGCTCGGCATGGCTACGGCGGTTGTCTATGACCATGTCTGTGGTGAGCATCACGATGTTCATGGGCCTCGCTCTGTACGCCCCCACGCTGGCCCTAGCCGCTGTCACTCCCCTCACGTCCACCACCTTCATCTGGATAATGGGGGTTGTGGTAACCATCTACTCCTCGTTCGTAAGTTGGAATCAACTCGGATCGCTAAATTTCGAACATCAATGTAGCAACGAAAAATAACCTAATTCCGAGGCTTTCATAGCTATAAAAGCCACATTCAAAACAAATTACAAAGCAGATTTCATCCTGACCTGCTTGCCATTACAATGAAACACTATACAACGATGTATCACAATAAAAATCACCAGTGTGCATCACGGGTGTATCAAGCATCTGTCTAACAACCCATAAATCACTTCACGTCAGAACATAACCCAATCAAGCCCACAAAAAACACAGTTTCGTCAACCTTCCTCATCACCTAAATTACACGTACAGTTTATACACGGCGCTCGTCCGATCGTCATTAGTCTAATCGCTCATGCCTTATTACTATGTCTACTCAACTATACCTCAACACACTATCGCCGGTATCGAAACTGCATAACCAGGCACTCAAATTCTTAACGATGCAATATACTCATTTTTGAAACTGTCCTTCACGGACATATTCGTAACATCTGGCACTAAATTTAAACAAAATAACCTGACATTTTCGACCAACTCATTGATATACCCGTGGTACTTTTGTGATGTTCCTCTTGATACCTGTGCTCTCCCTAAATCTTTCAGATTAGCGGCTATCAATTCGTAAGTGCGGGTTTCTAGGAAAGTGTAACATTATCTTTTCGTGCTTCTGTCTCTGAAATTTTTTTAAATAGGGCTGCGATAACCACTCACCTTTGTTCTCGCTCCCTCCCCTCCCCTCCCCTCCCCTCGCCATCATGCGAGTAGACAACACGATTTTAGGAAACACTGAGGGACACAAACAGCACTAGCAAAATTCGCGAAATATTCGCCACTAGCTGAGCTGTGCTCTGTCTGGCTGATGCCTAGTGTCTTTTACAGTCGGTGACTCAAGCCAAAAAGCTAACGCGTTCCCGTAACATTGTGATTTTCAGGGCGGCCTAAAGGCTGTAGTGTGGGCGGACGCGTTCCAGATGGTGCTGATGACTGCAGGGGTGTTGCTGGTGACGGTCATGTCTTGCGTAGAGGTGGGCGGTGTCCAAAAAGTCTGGCAGGTCGCCTACCAAGGAGGAAGAACTGAAGGACTCGAGTGGGTGACCTCTTTGAACGTTTGATTCTGCTAAGTTTCTTATGTAGTATAATTAATATAATTAATCAATAATTTCCAAGGCTTGTTTGTATTTGTCATGTTCGTGGGTATGAAAAGATTTTTACAACTTCTCTATTAGATATATCTTTGACCACGAAAATGGAGCATGATTTCACTTCCATTAGAATTTAGGAAACGACAATGTTCAATATGTGTCTACGGTACTGCATGCCATCTCCCAGAAATTGTGATATCAAGAACCCGAATATCAAGTCGTACCCCGAAGAAAAACGGCTTAACAAATAATCATTGTAAATATAAATTTACAATTTGTGTTCCAAATAGTCCAAAAAATTTTATAAAATGTTGTTGAGCAACTATTTACATGGATTGACCGTTTTCAACAATCTTCATTTTCAACGCCTCAAATGTAACGATAGAAATGAGAATACTGAATTTTCAAGCGCCCTCTCATTCCCGATATCTAGATTTTATCTCAACTAAGCGATTTCAAATTTTCTCAGCATGAGCGCGGACCCGAGGGTTCGCCACACAGTCTGGAACGTAATCCTGATGACGCTGGTGTACTGGGGCAGTCACTACAGTGTCGCGCAAGCCACCTACCAGCGCGTCAGCTCAGTAGCCACACTGTCACAGGCCAAAAGGTGCATTGAAATTACGACGAAACTCATCAGCAGTAATCTAGGTACCTTCAGATCAGCTCAGTGGCCAAGCTTTTCCAGACCAAGACGAGAGGTGGTGTGACGCCGAAACTCATTAGCTATAGGTACCAGCGTAAAGCCATAGGTGTCACTTCCTTTCCTGTAAGTGAACCATTCAACCAGATAGCATCAAGCCGCCGAAGCAACAGCCATGGTCAAATAGTCAAACGGTAGCGTGCTTATATTAAACACAGCCGGACCTTTTCACGACTTTTAAAAATGAGCGCCCATCATAACAGCGCCGTTACGTCACAGCCTCTGCTTCATTTCGCTTTACTTCACAGGCAGAAGCGCATCTGGCCAAACCTTTTCCGTCATGCCCTGCTCTTCCCCTTTCGCAGCCAGAAGGCTTTTCTAGGGGTCCGATCAGTAATGCGCCAAAAGCCTTCTGGCTGCGAAAGAGGGAGAGACGAGGCATGGCGGAATAGGTTTGGCCAGATGAGCTTCTGCCTGTGAAGTAGAGCGCGATAACGCCAGTACCGTTAGGAGCAGAGTTGGTTTACGCTGATCCGGCGTGGTCTGCGGACAGTAAGGTTTCGGGCACTTGTGAGCAGTGATAGTATGGGGTGAAATTTTTTGGAGTAGGACCTGTTGACAATTAGCTATTTGATGCAGCAGGTTGTGGAGTGAGGCAGTTAATTGTGACTTTAAGTAGGTGTGATGAGATGACTCGGTTACCTACATCTTCTTGAGTGTGAGGTTGAATATAGTTATTGCATTACGAGGGAAGGCGTTGGTGCTAGGGCTCGTTTATGAGTTAAATTTTTGGTCCACGGCTGCTCCCCCCTCAAGCCAACAAACCGAGACTCAGATTAGTGGCTAGTCCCTCGCCTGCTATAGGAGGTGAGCCAGTCAAACTTAACGAAGTTACAAGTGAATGCCCTCTATCGTCAAACACAATTAAGCTAAGATGGGCAAACAGAAATATGTGTACCTGGAACCACCATTTGGCTTGATCCTAACTTATCGTTACTTTTCTTTACTCCGAAAATTTAGTTTTCTAGATTCAACGTTCCACGTTAATCTGCTTTGTTCCTGAAAAGAAACTAGTTAATTTGTTTAAAAGCGTCTAATCTGTCTACATTTTGCGTGCGTTAACTCAGGTTTGGTGTGTGATGGGCAGAGTGTTGTACTATAATGTGGTTGGCATGACTCTTTTCATGCTTCTGGTGTTCTTCATGGGCCTCGGCGTCTACGCGGTCTATGCAGATTGCGACCCTTTTGCTCGGGGCTTCATCTTCAGCAAGGTAGTTTAAATGCAATAAATTATTTATAGGGCGAGTCATTTCATTAATTGAGTGAAGTTATCTTTACTAATTCTACACAATTTTTAGTACAAGCTTAAATCCAGTTCAAAATTCAAACCATTTGCTTTAGAATCATGAGAACATTATGATGTCAAAACATTTAGAAATAACACCATTCACTCCTATTGGAAAACAATTTTCTTTACTTTCCATTACAGGATCAAATTTCAGTTTATTTCGTGAACGACAAATTGAAGAACCTTTCTGGTGTTCCGGGCGTCTTTGTGGCTGCTCTTCTCAGCGCTGCTCTGAGGTAAGCTTACTGTATATCCACTGTATATTTAGACATCTGATTTCGAACTTTTTTGTGATCGAATGCAACTTGGAGATCCCCTGTTGTAGCGGTGCACTGTCGCCAGCCACTAATGATCAGACTTAGGCACTGAGAATATATTGAATATATACGATAACTGTAGGACCAGTGGATCTGGTGAATGACGTGCAACAACAGGTGCAACCGTTGCCAGGTTATCTTGCTTTGGGCAGTAAAACTTCTCTGAATATTAAAATGTTATTCAGACATCGTTTATGGCCTCGAAAATTTGGCCTAACCATTGGAAGGTTCTTGCGTTCCGGTACACGTAACACAGGCTTAAAACACAATTCTAATTTCGCAATTCCAACCACAGTTCAAACATGGTAGTTTTTATTAACGCTCAAGTGTATGTTAAAAATTAACCCCAACATGCATTCTTAAAATTCATGGCTCTCTTAATGTGGTCGATTATAATTATGAATCGAGAAATTATTTTCGATTAGCCTACAAAGGTTTACCCAAAACATTTTTTTCTTAAACAGAATTCTCTGTTCAATACGCCGGTCCCCTCAGGAGGGACTTCTGACAGGTGTCTGTGCTCGTCAGAAGTCCTGTGGGATTTCGCGTTCCTTAGGGATTGTTCCTGACCGCTGAGCCGCGGTGTCTGACTGCAGATCTCAGTTGTGGGGTTAAGTTATTATGTAGGTAGGGTTCCTTACATTTCCCTTCTCTGTCTCACTCGTGCAAGTGGCCGACGTCCCGTGTAAGCGACCTCTTGTTCGAGTGTCTTAGTTTCTTTTGCTTTTCACCTGTCCCTCAGGCCTTGTCACTTCGTCTCTTTGAGATGCTAACGCTGCTTCGAACAATTTTTGATTTGAGAAACTTTTTGATAACTGGGACCTTCCACCTTTTTGGTGATGTTCATCTTGACTTACGGTGCGAAATAGCTAAATAGCTGAAGCGCTAGTAAACATGTGGCCACTAAACTAACTCAATACGCCTTTTAAGAGAAACAAAAAACAAATGTCTCTTCGGGTTTTTTACTTTTATTCTTCGCTTCACTAGCTCCAACCTCATGAAAGCTACACTTAGGGCATCCCACTATTAGTTTCGCACTGCCCTATCTGAAGCCGTGGCTGTTGGAAAAAAGTAGTTATTCCGTTTCGGCTATCATGTAATCGCTTTAATCCAATAAATTTTCGTAGTAATTAAATCATAATTATTTTTCACTTCATTCACTCCAAATCAACAGCGCTCAAATTGCAAAAACTCTGACTATGCTCTGGAAAACATCATTGAGAGAAGGAAGCGTTCCTAGTGACCTCAAATTAGGTCTAGTAACCCCAATCTGCAAAGGAGGTGCTAGAAACAAGCCCCAAAATTACAGGCCGGTTACATTATCATCACACGTATACAAAGTATATTGGAGAAGGTTGTTGCCATAAGGTTGGTGCAGTATATGGAGGAAGTTGACCTTTTAACAGCAGGCAACACGGTTTTAAGCGAAATCGCTACTGTTTGTTTCGGTTATCACCAACAAATCCTGGCCATGCTGGAGTAGAGGGACGGGGTGGACGTGGTGTATTTAGACTTCGCGAAAGCCTTTGACAAAGTTGACCATGGAGTACTCTTCAGAAAATTAAGACTACTGGGGGTCGGAGGTAAATTTTTGGCATGTATCCACAGCTTCCCAACCGAAAGGCTACAAGCATTGGAGGCTCGAGATCAAGTGAGGCTAGGGTAAAGAGTGGAGTACCACAAGGAACGGTACTCGGCCCATTCCCCTTCCTCATTCACATCGCCCACATAGATGTGGCAGCGAACCACGCCTCAACATCGTCATTCCTGGACGTCACCAGGATACTAATGACCACCACGGACAGGACAGACTGCGAGAGGTTGCAAAAAGACCTCTCTGCCATATATGACTGGGCCAAAGCGAACAACGTGCAGTTCAACGGGACCAAGTTTGAGGTTTTGAGATACAGATGTAGCGAAAAAGCTGGTTTGGAGCACCGCTACCTGGCACTTGACAATTCGAAGAGAAGCGACCGTTTGCGATTTAGGAGTGTTGACGAATACTCGGGCCACGTTTGGTGAACACATAGCGGTAATAACCGCAAGAGGTAGTTGATGGGGTGGATCAGGCGGACGTTCAGAAAAGAGAAGCGGAACCGATGATCACACTCTTCAGAACCCTTGTAATACCCATCCTTGAATACTGCTGCCAGCTCTAGACCTCGTTCACACTCGGCGCAGTGCGGCAACTGAAAGGGGTCCAACGAACCTTTACTTCCAGAATCAGAGGGATGGAGTTCAACTACTGGGAGAGGTTGAAGCGCCTGAGTCTGTACTGACTGTAGAGGAGACGGGAGAGGTATGTCATTCTGTACACATGGAAAATAACCGGAATGGCACCAAACTTCGAGAGCGAAACCTTCATGATTGAGACATAGGGTAACATGGGGCAGCGAGCCCACTGCGGGTCATGGGCCCATAGCGGGTTTCTCGCTAAGTATGGCAGATATTGTGCCGTGTTCTCTACCTCCGGTCGACAGTTTCACTGGGATGAAGTGTACGGATTTACGTTTTGCTAAGTGTTTGCGTTATTAAGTTATTTGTGAATAACCACGCGTGTCACGGGGCAAAGCGCCCATGGTGAAGTCTTGTGTTATACATCATTAGATTTGTCTCAATGACCTTTTCAAAACTATGACTAGCTTTTTGAATTACAAATTACACTTCATATTGCATGATTTTTTGATTTGTCGCCTCAAGGCAGCAGATTTAGTTTTTAGTTATCCGTATTTATGACCCCTTATCGAGTTATTGACTGCCTTGCCAAAAGTTGATTTCAGCCTACACCAATGAGCCAAAAATTGATGAGTTTTTATGGTGTTGGCTGAAATCACGATTAGGTACGAATTCTCTGCACATATCTGGATTATGGACGAAACTGGAACGAAGTTTTTTTCTGATCAACTAAATATATTTTTTCTAGTCAAGGATACATATTTTCATGTCAAGGACGAATTTTTTATCGCAAGGATATATTTTTCAAGTCAAGGATATATATTTTTATGTCAATTAAATATTTTTCTTCACGTCAGTGATAGATTTTTTAAGCCAAGAGTATTTTTTTCAAGTTAAGGATATAATTTTTTGAGCTGTTAATAAATGAATGAATATCATTTTTTTATTACATTTTTCTTATTTTAACTGTAAAATGTTGTTTTATCATTTTTAAACGAGAAATATGCAATTGTGGTAAAGGGACCAAGGGTGGGCGCCTTGCCCCAAGCCCATGGGCCCATTGCCCCAGGGGTGGGGAAATGGGCCCATTTTGACACTTTTTACAAAATAGTGTTTCATTGAAAATTGAATAACTCTATAGGCGTCTAATTCTCATCATGCATTCCTCATTAGTTGTACCTTTAAACAAAACAAAGAACCACCTCGCATCGGTTAAAACTTCATCAAAAATTTAGTTTAAAAGAAGTGGGGGGCGCGCTGCCCCATGTTGCCCTATCATAACGAGACATGGGGACAATCCCCCAGTATGTAACAGATTTGCGGTCAGATTTCAATCCCTGCGAGAAAGATCACTTTCCGTGGCAGGGCCGAGGCCATTTAATTAACGTCCTACCAAAGGATCTATGAGAGGGGAATTTCACCCTGAAGGCCTTCAAGCCTCCAAGAGACGACTGGACGTGCTCTTGCATGGATGGGTACAATCCTTGATCGACCTTCCCTGTACTACTACTACCCTGTACTACTACTAATTTCAATTGACTTTTGATCGTTACATTTTTTAAACAGCTCTACGATTATCAATTGCTCTACATGCTTTTCTCTATCTTAGCTCACTGTCATCGGGAATACATACCATGGCGACTTTGCTGTGGGGTGACGTATTTTCGCTCACTGCGTGCTTCAGGGATTGCTCTGACTTTGTGGCGGCCACTGCAAACAAAGTTCTTAGTGAGTTCATTTACTTTCAACCGATATTATGGAAAGACAATCTCTAGAACTGAATTACTGAATGGCAATTGTTTTTATAGTTGAAACCATTTTTTTAGAACAACATTGAGGAGTCCCCAGTAGGCTCGAAGTTAAATGCCCAAGTATCCTTTAGTCAAGTTTTGAGTAGGCTCAAGTGACACCATTGTTCAAAAATGGTTACAAGAGTAGTCCCGGTAACTATCGCCCTGTCAGTCTGACAATTGTTGTTTATAAGGTAATGGAATTTGTTGTGAGGTTTAGAATTAGCGATCACTTGACTGTTTTTTGAGGTATAGAATTAGCGATCACTTGATTGTTAAACATCTCCTATCAGACTGTCAACATGGCTTCATTGACGGTAGATCCTGCCCCATAACCTCTTGTCTACGTTGAACGATTGGACTCGCCTGCTGGCCGAATAACATCACATAACATAATGATGTCGGCGCTGAAATGTAGGCCTGATGTGGCCTGTCGCCGATTCTTTTCCTTTTCGTGCCTTGTTCATAGATCTAAACTCGTATCATTTGATCGGATCTTTTCATGACTGGCGATAGTTTGACTTCCGGGTTCGATAAGGAGCTAGGCATTTCAAATCTGAACATATATTTTTCCATAGCTTTATCTAGTCTGTTCTTGAACGCGTTCATACTTGGAGCTCCAACGATGTCATCGGAGAGGCTGTTCCACATGTCGGTGATTCGAAGCGAGAAAAAATTTTGTCGCGTGGAGAAGTTGCAGCGCAAACCAGGCGCTTGAGAACCTCTTCTTCGTGTATTTCAAAACATGTTAACTTCGAGCCGACTGGGCGCTCCTCAATATCTGGAATGCTTTTCAAGTCCTCATCTGTGAACACACTGCTGAAGAACTGATTAAGAACGTTAGCCTTGCCCTCATCAGAGGAAATCTTTCGTTGGTCTACTTTCAAATCAGATATACCGTTCTTTGACTTACACTTCGAACTAGCGTACAAAAAGAAGGCTTTCGGATTCTTTTTGGCATTTTTAGCAATATTTTTTTCGAAGTTTTTCACTGCAGTGCGACAAACTTTTTAAGCTTGATTTCGAGCTCTGGCATACAGGTTATAATCAGCCAGTGAATTCAGTGTACCTCTATTTTGCCAAAGCATTTGACAGTGTTCCGCACGAGTGGTTGTTGAGTAAAGTGAAGTCTTTGGGAATAGAGGGAAATGTACTCCAATGGATCAGAGATTTTCTAGCAGGTAGACGACAACGTGTCAGTACTAACGAAACCATATCAGACTGGGCATCAGTGCGCAGTGGCGTGCCACAAGGAAGCGTTCTTGGGCCTGGTTTGTTTGTAGCTTTTATAAACGATCTGACAAAAGTAGTGTCAAGCGTGTGCTTTACGTATGCCAACGACAAAAATTTTTATAATAGAGTGATGAATGCGTCAAATAAATGCGATTGCAAGATGATCTTGACTTGATCTTGAAGTGATTTACCTCGGAAAGAACTATGAACAGCAAGATTACAGTGTTAGAAGACATGGTTGTAACGAGAGAGTAATGATTGAAAAAATTAGCGTGTAAAAAAATTTGGGAATTTGTCGACAAGGAGCTAAAATTCTCTAGGCATATAAGCTAATAAATCTAATAAACTTCTTAGACTGATCAGACGCTCCTTCGAGTTCTTAGATGCAGAAACGATGAAGTTGTTGTTTGTCGCTGCCGTGCACCCGATCCTAGAGTTCAGAAAAACTGTGTGGTCACCGAAACATGAAAAGGATAAAAATTTAGTAGGGAGTGTTCAAAGACTTGCAACCAGGATAATTCCAGGCTTGAAGGGCAAGTCTTATGAAGAAAGATGAAAGATTATGAAGCTTATCGACGTATGCGTGGCGACCTCATTGAAGTGTGTATGTATACTCATGGTTTATACAAGGTCCCAGAAGGATTACTTGAATTTGAAACAAGAACAAACACCTGGAGACACGGCTATAAACTAAAAAACTGCGATGCAACTCGTCCACGCGACAACACTTCTTGGCGCTTCGCGTCACCGACATGTGGAATAGGCCTCCCTGATTACATCGTTGACTTCCCGAATGTGAACGCGTTCAAGAACAGACTAGATAAAGCAATGGAAAAATATAAGTTCACACTTGAAATACATAGCACTATATCTAACCTTGTGAGAGTCTAGTAGATATTTCAAACTATCGTCAGTTTCGAAGATTCGGTCAAAGGACCTGTATTCAGATCTCCTGTGAACAAGTCACGAAAAGTAAAAGTGGAGATTCGGCGACAGGCCATATCAGGCCTATTCTCCAGCGCCGACATCACTAAGATATGATATTATAATAGAATAGAAAATTTCAAAAACTTTTGAAAAAACAAAATGAAAAGCAAGTACAAGATGAAAAAAATGCAGGCTTCATCCGAGACGATCAGTTCTAATTTATTTTATTTACCGTACAGCGGTGTTATTGGGAGCCACTATCATCGGCTTGGCTTTTATGGCCTCGGAGCTGGGTGGGCTGATCCAGGCTGGTTACACGGTGGTGGGAGTGATGGCTGGTCCCATCCTGGGCGTCTACTTGCTTGGCTTGGTGGTGCCGTTTTGCAACAAGCGGGGTGCCTTTGCTGGTCTCTTGTCCAGCTACGTAAGTGGAAACGCCACTCATTTTCTCGCCGCAATTTTACTTACATTTTTTTTGCTTCATTCCGGCAAAATAAGGATCGTCTGAATGATAATTAATATGCTACGCGTATATCTATCGCAAATGATGTACATGCAAATAAACATTTTCAACTAAGCAGTCGTTAAAATTCATTCATGGGTATTTGAGTACTGAACGGCATTTTTTTGTTTGCCTTATCATTGAGACGATATTTGTATTGTGTGTGAGCTTATTCGACGTTTAGGATAAATTCGTTGCTACCCAACTTGCCGATTTATGTGATATTATTTCACGACTTGTCGGACGATGCTGCGTGAAAAAATGTTTAAACGGGAATAGGTTAAGACAAAAGAAGGTCGGCCGGAGTAGATGCAGCATGACCAGTGACCATGCTTGACCTGAAAACGCTTGAGCGGTAGGTGTTGACATTCGGCTTTATGGCTTTAGGCACTTTATTTCATAGGCTGATATGCCTCTTGCATACTTACCCAAGAAACTGAGGATAAAGTTGGGCGAAGCAGGCCTCCGACTTGCGCCCCAACGAATTCCTAGTTGGAAAGGGATTCATAGTCACTTACACATGCTGCCAATTGCACCAGAATTCAGAATTTTTCAAGCGATATTATTGAGAGAAGGGACTACAAAATTCCGTTTAAAGCTGGGCACTGTTAGTCTCCAAAAGGCAACCACTGCAAACTTGTGGCCTATTTTTGACTACGTGCGATTTTAACAGATTCTGTGCGTCTGGATCGCAGTGGGAGGCTTCCTGACTAACACTACCAAGCCAGAGATGTTGCCATTCTCCACAGCGGGCTGTCCCGCTAACTCGACCGTCATCACCTTCATATCCCTCGCTGATGCCAGCAAAACTGCCATAAATATGCCAGGGTGCGTTGAGTATTTTTTGCATTTCGTTAGGCAACGGCAGCGAAAGGTGACGTTTTTATTATTTGAAACGCTGTTTGTTATTAACACTGCTGTGTTGCACTGATCCCTTTAAATGACATTAATGTCTTTTTCTCTACTTTTCCTGTGTTATATTTTGGTTTTCACTTATCAAACTGAATGACTGCCTATTGCAGGTCCGCGTTTTCGATTCTATATTCGATATCCTACACCTTCTATCCCTTCATCGGCCTGGCGACATGCCTGATCGTGGGTATTCTCGTCTCTATCATTACAAGTAAGCATATTTGCATATTTTGTTTTATATTTCATACAGAATTTTCGAAAACAACCAACTCTGTCTGCAAGAAGTAGCATATCTTAAAATTTATCTGCCTGCAACCAATCCACAGGTTATGGGATTGGTGGAACTAGCTGGATTCATGCGATCATTAAGGTCTGACTAGAAACTAAATTCGTGTGGTTCTTCTACGTATTTAAAAAATAAGGTTTAGAATAGATTATATGTTAAATATCTTGAGTGTTTTTGAGAGAACATAAAGGCTTAGATGAGAGCAGTAAAATATGATATTACACAAATTATTGATCATAGCCTACGCTTGCGTTCAATTCAATGTCAATTCATCATGGAAACCACAAGTGAGGTCAGACGAGTGTCAAGTCATTCTGCCTGAAGGATAGTGGGCATGCAGGCTATTTTTATTTTATTATTTTCAAACGTGATGTCGGTAGAAAGTAATTTTTTATTTGTTTCTCCTAAATACCCTACTGCTGCTAGATGATATCATGTGTAAACCTGGTAACAGTGCATATGACACACGATATTTTCAACATAACTCTCGTATTCGTCCAGGTAATCGTCTTCCCACCTATAATTACTCTCGTTGTTGGCGGTTTAACGGATAAAAATCAACTGATTTAATTTGAAATAACCTCGATTCGTATTGCGTGGAGATTCTAAGCTTTAGTTTCAATGGATGTTGCAACATTAAACCTCAAATCACGTTTCAACATTGGTGACAAGTTCTTCTATATTTCATAGTCGACAGAATTCAAAGAAAGTTTAAATTATTAACTGTACCTAAAATAGTGAATTGAAGTGCCAATTTCATAGTATTTTTTTTTTTTTTGGCAGGTTACCAAGACCCCCGTACGGTCCCTAGCGAGCTCGTACTCTTCTGCGTGCGACGTTTCACGAAGAAAGAAAGCGATGTCGACAACGGTGTTTCTTGCATACGAATTGAGTCCCTAAAAAATAATATAAATTATAGCAAAGAAGATGGCATGGCCACAACAAGAAATAATAAAAAATTAGTTATTATTTCTGATCGACTTTGAAAATAGGTATGCCTACATTTTTTCATAATTCGCTAAATTGCCTTGGCACTTTTTCAATGCACTGCCAGTTTATAATGTCCCAATAAGGATTAAATGTACTTCAAAGCATTTTTATAGTACATCATTTTCTCAACATTGCACACATTATATATATTGTACATCATTTTCTCAACGCACTGCCAGTTTTTAGAGTCCCAGTAAGAAGGATTCGACGTAATTCAGAGCATTTTTATAGAAGTACCATAATCTTAGACTCGATTTCACGGATGAATCTTGTTCATATTGTACTGCTGATTACTTAAGTGTTTAAATTATGTATGAACCCAGATTTGTAATCTTATTTATTTCTTTTGTGTGCAATGAATATCCCGATAAATTTTTTTCGCTCTGTTGGGCTTGAATTTCCCAAAAATGTTCACAGCTCATCCTCAAATTCTTTTCTCATACGAAGATTGCGTAAAGAAAAATAACTTTTCTTCAGTATTACTTCGATTGCTCTCTCATATATTGCATATCCCTGTGGTATTGTATAAAAAACTTTTCCCTATTTAGTTTAGTATTAAACTTTTCCCTATTTAACCCACATGGCTGCTTAGAGAAACGCAACGTGACATTAATAGTTTTAAAATACATAAATTATCAATTCATTTTGCATTCTCGTGTGATTTTTACTCGTTACCATATAAAATAAACATTACATTTTGACTCTGTCCTGGATGTCTTTCTTAAAAAAATTACCTCAAATATTGACCTTCAAATACTGGTCATTTTCTAAGCAATGTTGGATTGAATCTAAGCAATGTTGGTAAATTTTCTAAGCATGTTGAAACGCAAGCTAACACATCCAACAAACTTCTTGGACTAATCAGACGCTCATACGAGTTCCTAGATGCAGAAACGATGAAGCAGTTGTTTGTTGCCGTCGTACGCCCGAGTCTAGAGTTTGGAAACGTAAATCGTCAGCTATGGAAAGATCGGGTTCCAAAGGCCGGATCCCTTGTGAATCAAGTCACGAAAAGTTCAAGAATCGGCAAAAGGCCATGGGCCTATTTCTTCAGCGCCGACACTTCTATTCTATTCTATTCGATTACGTATATTCATTGCCTCAAATCAGCCTCGTTAAAAATTGAAGCAAATTTGTCATGAATAATGGAACGCGCTAAAGCAGCTGTGTGAAAACGTTTTGAATATGAACTATGAACAAGTTTACAATGGGATAGTAGTTTCTTCTTACAACATTTAGTCGATAGCAGGAGATTTAATTCATTTACTGAGATGCAAGTAAATTACACTTTTTCTGTGCACTCACGTTATAAAAAAATTTTCAGGCAAACTGATCGATATCTCCTGAACATTATTAAGGTGTAGATGTGTTTAAACGTTTCTCTTTGCGGAAGTGTTCAAACTGGGAAAGCAAATAAAACACTTATTTCAAAGATTTAAAATAATTAGGTGGTATAATAATCGTAACTGGCATCAGAAATGGACCCGAAAAAGCGCATTCTGTCACTTGAACTAGATTAAAAACGGAGACCCCTCCCATTCCTCCAACTCTTACCCGCCTCCCCTGTCTCTTATACCGTCTCACAATTTTAACTGGGTAATCATAAATTAAAGTTTATATAAATTTCAGATTCATTATTCTATTACATTGAATAGTTAGTTAGTTAGTTTAGTGGCCGAATGTTTACTAGCGCTTCAGCTATTTAGCTATCTCGCACCGAAAGTCAAGATGAACATCACCATAGAGGTGGAAGGTCTCAATTATTCATCACCCACAAGGGGCGGAAGGTCTCAGATGTCCAGCCCGCTGAAGCTGGCTCGAAGGAAGCAGCGTTAGCATCTCGAAGAGACGAAGTGACAATTAAGGAGAGACAGGTGAAAAGCAACAGAAACTAAGACACTCGAACAAAAGGTCGCTTACACGGGACGTCGGCCGCCCGCACGAGAGAGGCAGAGAAGGGAAATGTAAGGAATCCTACCTACATAATAACTTAACCCCACAACTGAGACCTACCCCTGTCAAAATTTTCGTGCCGATTAAGGTCGTTTTAGATTTAAAGGAACTATATTCGGCTTAGGGGTGAATCAGGAGCAAGTCGGCCACGTAGGGTGTTTTGCTTCTATTTACCAGCCTCTTTTGGAAATCAATTGCCCGGTAGGCCAAATCTGCGTAATATGCTTAAAAAGAGCAGCTGGTCAAGCTTCGTCATGATGCCCCCTGGTCAAACGCTGATGACGCTATCGCACGATCGGGCTGATCAGTTGCTGAACAAGGTAAACGCACGAACAATCGAAGTTCCCGCCATACGGGGGTATGTGGGGGTCTGCCTCCCGCACCCCCATCCGGACAGAGCATACCGTTGCAGCAATTGAATAGGAAGGCGCCAGTTTGAATCGAACCTTCAATCGATCAGTACGTGGTGAAGAGTGCTCATTGCTCAATGCTTATCGAAAAGGTACTAGCCTATTATAGTTTTGTCTCATTCAGAGAGCTTCAAACAATTTGATGCTTTCAGAGAGCTTTAAACAATTTCCTTAAATTATGACGTATTTGACTGGAAAATTTAAATTATGAAGGAAAATTTGTTAAGTTTTTCCNGAGTAATTTCACAAGATTCCATTTCGGCGCTTATTTCGCTACGGCAACCGGAACCTAATGCGGACATAGAGCTTCTAATTTACCCGGCCATAAGAACTTGGGGCGTCCGTGTGCCAGCGGCTGACAGGTCTTCGAATTTTGATAGGGACAGTCAGACACCGCGAGCTCAGCGGTGGGACGCTAAGGAACAATCCCCCTAGGAACGCGAAATCCCATAAGACTTCTGACGAGCACAGACACCCGTCAGAAGTCCCCCCTGAGGGGTATTACATTGAATAGCAAACCGACAAATTTGCTCATGAATTTTTTGGTTTGCTTTGAAAAGTTGCCTATACTCATACACTTCATATATGAGTGTAGGCAACTTTTATGCAACGACCCACAGTCGAAAGTTCGCCATGCATCTGCATAGATAGTTTAGGGAAATTCGACTTCTAAATCTTCGAGTGGTCGGATCTTCCGCGCTCTGTACTAACCCACATTAATCGACATCGTTGCCTACATTGGCGTTTGACTGGGATTCATCGATGCATTTTTTCGTATACGCGCGCATTTGCCAATAGACACATTCATCAATGCACATATTTGTCAAAGCAGTTACCAGCCGATACTCGTAAGCTTCCATGAAGCAATGCCATTGAATCCATTGTTCAAACGCCATTGTTTGTTCAAAACCTTCACGTGTATGTTCACGTAGGAAGGGCATGATAAAGGGGAATTTGAATTTAGTGGCGCGACGGAGTTCGGATCGGAGCCGTACAGCCACGAAAGGCAAGCGCGAGGTTATAAAAGGAACGGGGAGAACCACGAGACCATTTGGAGTCCGGAGGTGAGCCCGAGCCAAGTCTCAAACGATATCTAGTGCGAGCTGCCACTCAATAGGCGCTCGGCGTTTTGTTTGAGATGGAGAGAGTTTAGGCGTGAATTACGGTCGTTGACGACAGTGGTACGACCCAATGGATATCTGGATATCTACAGGATTCCTAAGACGCCGCGGAAGAATAGTTACGCTTGAGCGAAAATTACGGAAGCTACAACGTGGCCGAATAAAAGTAAACGGCGTTCTTCTAGAAGACTTGCGTTGATCAATGAACGGCGAGAGAACTCCTTGACAATCCACGTTCCAGCATCGTTTCGAATCTCCAGGTTCTCTGATTTCGAATCTCCAGTTTCCCTGATCTCGAATCTCCAGTAATCGCTTCTGATCTCCAGTTCCGGGATTTGACTCCATGCACTGAAAGTCGAGAGCCGGCGCCAGCCCAGTCGCATTAAGGACTTCATCGAGTCTCACTAGTCGCAAATACAAGGTCTCACTACGGCCCGCAATACGACGAAGAAAAAAATCACGGAGAAGTCGTTCAACCCGCCTCTGCCATAACGCCCGGTGATGTATTCGACTTGAGTTTGAAACTGCTATTGTTTGATATCTATTCCATGTCGATTATTCCATGTTTGATATCTAGGTCGGAGTTTTCTTAACCATAGATCGATTTTAGTAAGGGAAGTAAATCCATGTTTGATTGGAATTGAGGTTAGATTCATATACCTTGACTCTAGATTATTTCTTATGCCATGAAATAGATTACATGCAAAAACGAGCCAGTCCTGTAATAGGATAGCTTTGTCTATATCATAGGGAGTGCTGAATTTCTACATGCGTTGTCATTTTACCCTCCGTGTTAACTTTGTCAAAGCTAGTCGAGAACTTACTTACATACGCGCCTATGTAAGCCACTGGGCAACAACCTGATCAACGATAAATAATGAAAATCTGGAACCATTAACTAACGAAAAGTTGAAAGAGAAATAACTTCGATCGATCGACGTCGAGAAAACGATCAAATATATAAAATTCTCAACAATTACAACTCCCCAATCTATTCACACCGCGATGTACTTAATTGTTAACACTTTTAATTTTTTAAGATATAGTCGTTGTACATGCGATATATAATCATATGTCTGTCTACGACTTCTTTAATACTGAGTGAGATAATTTATATAAAAACAGCGTAGAGATTATATTGCATTAACGTAAATCAGCAATTTGCTTGTGACACATCAACAAAATGAACATTTGCAACGTTCATCAAAAGCTAAAGTGATGAGCAAAAATGAGCGCAATTAAATGAACCCTTACGATGGCAGCTAAGATATAATTAAACCATTAATTTGACAGATGACAGTTACGTGGTAATGTGGTCGTAGCAGAAACCCGTGTATCTATTCGCGTAACTTCCAATGAATAAGAAAGTATTTTACTTACAAGATAAGTGAGCAAATGAAGTGACAAATACTTAGTTTAGAAGCAAACGTCACTAACGTTTATTAAGTTATTTCTACTTTATGCGGTCTCGTCGCCTAATTCAGAAACTTACCTAGACGTTGATTCATTCAAAATCAGCCCGTTCGTTAATTTTAACCAACGTTTTTAAGCCATGCTAACTTCAAAATCTTAAACATCATAGCTCGTCTCTAAAAAATTTCCACGTTATTAACAGTCATAATAAGCTAGAAAAATTGGCACACATACATTTTGTTGTTACCGTGTCTGTCAATCAATTTAATTGATGACTGCTAGCATTATATTTTGAGAGAGCGAACATATAAACCCAAAATTTGATACAACAGTATTTTAATATAACAGGATTGGCATATAATCTCTTGTAATAACATCTGTTCATCCATTAGTATAGGAACGGCGTCAGAGCTACTGCTGAATTTCTAGCTTTAAATTTGATTTTCCGATCA